CCCAAAACCCCAAAACCCCAAAACCCCAAAACCCCAAAACCCCTCGTTTCGAAACATTTGTTGAAATTTTAAGATTTTATGAAATTTCAAAAAAATTAGAGTACTATTTAAAATCAGGATTTTGTTCATAATTAAAAATAAATTCTTATGAGTAAAGATACAACAGAAGATAAGCTTGGCCAAGATAAAGATATCCCCATGGTCGGGTTGTTCAAGCTGTATCAGTTCTCTTCCTCTAGAGTGAAGGTGTACCTCTTCATTGGGCTGATAACTTCGATTCTTGCAGGGATTTGTATGCCAATGTTTATTATTTTCCTTGAAGAGATGTATAACTCCTTTGATCCAGATACTAGCAAGAAGGTCGTTTACGGTAAGTCTGTGTTCCTTAAGAAGGCCATTGTGCTATATGGTCATCAGTTTCTCTTTCAAGTACTCTTGTATCTTCTTAATAATGTCCTATTTTAACAACATTTTTATTCATTCTTGTATCCAATTTTTTGCCAAAAATTACTACAGAGATGCAATCTTATGCCCTGTTAAACTCAAGTGTAATCATAGAGATTCTCTTTAAATGCTTTATTCATCTTCTAAATTTTCTGACGAATATCTTCTCTTCAAAGAATATATGTAATTCCCCCACATATTAGTGTTTGCCTAAGTTCAAAGATTTCTGAGTAGCTCAGATTTTATCTCAGTTACAGTGTACATAAATCTGATGTTATCAATAGCTACTTCGGGTTGTTTTATACTGGGGTATTTGGATATATTTGAACACTCTGAAATTTCGAAATTTGACTTGTATGATTTAACCTAACTGTTACGTATTTAGATAATAGTAAGAAAGTTTTGTTCTATCTCCTCTACATTGGAGCTGCACTCTGGCTCTTTAGCTATCTCTATGTTGCCTTCTTTGGAATGGTCTCAGAGTACACTGGGATGATCTTCAGAGTCAAGTATTTGGAGTCAGTCCTCAGACAGGATATTTTATGGTTCGAAGACAATGATCCTCAGTCATTGGCATCAAAGATTAGTAAGGAAGCATCAGCTATTCAAGAAGCTACAGGAGAGAAAATAGCTAATATCTTTTTTGCCTTTGCTATTTTGGCATCTGGATTGACTGTAGCCTTTGTTTTGGGATGGCTATTTACTTTTATTGTAATTTGAGCATTCCCAGTCTTTTTCATTTCAATTTTTGTTTTCACATCGATGGTACGAAAGGGAGGGAAAGTAAGCATGATATATCTAAACTGTATAGTATCTTGACAAAGCCTTTGAAAGATCAAGCACTATTGCTGAGCAGGCTCTCAATTCCATCAAGATTGTGCAAGCCTATGGCCAAGAATCAACAGAAAATGATAGATTTATTGAGCCATTAGACGAAGCTAGACAGAAGGGGATTAAAGTTCATTTTATGACTGCTCTAGCATATGGAATTTATTCATCAGGATTCATGGTCGTTTTTCCAATATCATTGTTTTTCGGTGGACTTCTAGTTACAGAAGGTGTTCAGAATAATATTAGAGATAGAGGATATGCTCCAGGAGATATAGTTGCAATATTCTTTGCAGTTATGTGGGCAGCTTGGTCTTTTAGTATCGCTGGTCCAAACTTTGCTGCTATTACTAAAGGAAGACAAGCTGCTTACACAGCTCTTCAAACTATCGAAAGAGTTCCTAACATCATTATTGATGATGAATCAGCAAAGTCACTAGATGACCTGAGAGGCGAAATCAAGTTCCAAGATGTAAAGTTCAAATACAAAACGTAAAATCTTTGCTACTTCTTATCTAAACAATCATATAGTCGAAAGATCAATGCTTTGGATGGAGTCACCATCAACTTTGAACAAGGCAAAGTCACTGCTTTAGTTGGTCCTTCTGGATCCGGAAAGTCCACCATTGTTCAGCTCATGGAGCGCTTCTACGACCCTGATGAAGGCTCAGTTATCATTGACGGTGAAGACCTCAGAAACATTAACCTCAGAGATTTCAGGTCCAAAGTGGGATATGTGGGTCAGGAGCCTGTGTTGTTCAACCAGACCATCCGAGAGAACTTGTACTATGGCAACCCTGAAGCCACCGAAGATGACATGCTTGAAGCTTGCAAGAAAGCCAATGCAGCCAAGATCATTGAGAGACTTCCAGAAGGACTTGACACCATTGTAGGAGCTCAAGGAGGACAGCTTTCAGGTGGAGAAAGACAAAGAATTGCTTTAGCCAGAGCTTTCATCAAGGATCCGAAGATTCTGATTTTGGATGAAGCGACATCAGCTTTGGACAGGAAGAATGAACAAGAAGTGCAAGAAGCCATAGACAATTTGAAGAACGGAGACCTGAACATCACGACCATTGTGATAGCCCACAGACTTTCAACTATCATCAATTCAGATAAGATCGTAGTGTTGAAAGAAGGGAAAGTCGTGGAAGAGGGAACTCACAAATCACTGCTGAATGAATTCAAAAATGGAGTGTACTCTACACTAGTACTAACTCAACAGAAAATTGAAGAAGAAGAAAAATCTCTAGTAAAACAAGAAAGTCCAAGTGAAGAAAGCAAAGAATCTTCTAATTCAGATCGTCCCTTATCCTCTAAAATTTATCATAAAAGGTATTCTATAAATAAAGGTACCTCATTTCATGAAGAAGTTGATAATAAGAAGGAACAAGCAGATGCTATCGATGCAGATATTAAAAAAGAAAAAGAAGAACTCCTTGCCAAAATCAAGAAGAAAGGCTACTTCAAGAGGCTTGTTGCATATAACAAGCCCTACTGGCTGATCATTGTTGGGTTGATCAGTTCAGCAGTTCAAGGAATGACTATGCCCATGAACGGATTCTTGTTTGTCAAAATGCTTTATGCAATGTTTGATGATAATATGGAGGAGATTACATGGTACTGACTGATTATGATTGGAGGTTGATTCATCTCATTTATTGCAACATACTTACAAAAACTCTCATTTGGCATCCTTGCTGAAAACATGACTAAAGAGATTAGAAAAGATCTCTATCAAGCCATTATCAAGAAGCATATTGGCTGGTTTGACTTAGAAGAAAATAATATTGGAGGACTCACAGCTACTCTCACATCAGATGTATATGCTTTGAATGGAGCTTCCACCGAAGGGCTTTCAAAGACTATTGAAGTATGGTGAGGATTGCTAGGAGCAATTATTTTGTCTTTGGTGATTGAATGGAGAGTTACTTTAGTATGCATTTGAGCAATTCCAATTCAAATGTGCTCAGGAATGATTCAAATAAGTATTCAAACTGGATCTGCAGGAGCACAGGAGGCAGCTTTGAAGTCTGCTAACTTGCTAATCTCTGATGCTATCTCAAACTATAAAACTGTAGCTTCATTCGGACATGAGTACATTCTAGTAGACATTCTTAGGGAAAAGCTTCAGATCCCTGTCAGATCAGGATCAATTAGAGCTCACATTTCAGGATTTCTTTTTGGGTGGTCCAACTTTGTTGAAAGTGTATTAATTGGGTTACTATTTTTTATTGGCTCGGTTTTTATCAGATACAATGGTGTAGACCAAAAAGATGTATTCTTATCAGTCTTCATTCTCATATTTGCATCTTGGGGAGCAGCACAAGCACAACATTTTGGACCATCACAAGGAAGAGCAATGAAATCAGCAATGAGGATCTTTTCTATCATTGATGAACAACCTGAAATTAATGCAGATGATGACCACCCAGACCTTGTCATAGCTAATGAGAACACTTTCATTGGAACCATCGAGTTCCAAAATGTCTGGTTCAGATACCCAACTAGGCCTGACAATTGGGTCCTCAAAGACTTCTCTCTCACCATTGACCCTAGAGAACATGTGGCCTTGGTCGGAGAGTCTGGAAGTGGTAAAAGTACAATCGTTCAGCTATTGTTGAGATTCTACGAACCCCACTTCGGCCAGATCCTGATCAATGGAGTCGACATCAAGCACTACAACTTAAAATCACTGAGGCATCAGATGGGACTGGTGCAGCAAATGCCAACTTTGTTCAACGAGTCAGTGCTGTACAACATTTGCTATGGAGAGGAATTCGAAGATATTGATAGAGCTATTGAATGAGCGAAAGTTGCCAATGCCACTGGATTCATTTCAAAGCTGACAGATGTTGATGGAGAAGATCACATTGTCATTGAAGAGCAAGATGAAGGAGATGAAGACGATGTTGATATCAAAGATGTGCACCTTGGCCTTCAGACAAACTGTGGAACCAATGGAAACAAACTCTCAGGAGGACAGAAACAAAGAGTGGCCATTGCCAGAGCTGTCATGAGAGAACCCAACTTGTTGTTGCTTGATGAGGCCACAAGTGCTCTAGACGAAGTATCACAAAGCAAAGTACAGGCAGCTCTAGAAAAAGTGATGAAGGGAAGAACCTCAATTGTAATCGCTCACAGGTTGACAACCATTGAGAACTGTGACAGAATAATTATCTTGAAGAATGGAAGATTATACAAAGAAGGAAAATACGGTCAGATAAAGGATGAATTATAATTTCATAAATACAATCAAGATTTTATGATTTGGGGTTTTGGGGTTTTGGGGTTTTGGGGTTTTGGGG